TATCAATTCCTTGCTACCTGTGTGCTTTTCCTTTTAAAAATCAGCTATATAATTGCTGCCTTTCACCTCTGAAGTTGACACTAATGATGGGCGACACACTCCACATTTGCATCCATGCCTGGAAAGATCTCAGTGTGACTTATGTTCCTACCCACACAGCTCGCACATACAGCTTGGCTCTCTCAGTACTCTTCCCAATAGACTCTGTGCCCATAATATAAAAGTTTCCATATTTCCTTTGACGTGACACAGAGAAAGAGAGGGTGGGAGAACAGAGAGAGCACCAGTTGTTTGGAATCTTATAGACCTGAGAACCTTTGACTCACTGTCTGTGTGTCATACTGACTCAGTGCTGTGAGACTGGTGATATTCCAGGCATTTAGTTGTGGGACTCCTGTTTTGCCCTGGAATTTTGAAAATGATCCCAGGTAAGGCTGATGAAACAGCTGTGCCAGTGTAGCATGTTATCTGTAGCAAGTCCAAGTCTGGCATGTGTTTTTAAACAAGATCTGCAAGTTGCATTGTGAAAGGTAATATTTGAAAGTCAATGACATTTGAAAATACTTTAAAAATAGAAACATGTTATAAACATGGGTATCTGTGATAATGGGCATGGAGTTATACAAAATCCTCCAGTACATAATAAAAATTCACACGTATTTAGGGAATCTCAGTTGAATAGAAGAAATAGAAATTACCGGATTAACATTTTTTTTTTTTTTTTTTTTTTTTTTTTTTTTTTGAGACGGAGTCTCGCTCTGTCGCCCAGGCTGGAGTGCAGTGGCTGGATCTCAGCTCACTGCAAGCTCCGCCTCCCGGGTTCATGCCATTCTCCTGCCTCAGCCTCCTGAGTAGCTGGGACTACAGGCGCCCGCCACCTCGCCCGGCTAGTTTTTTTGTAGTTTTAGTAGAGACAGGGTTTCACCGTGTTAGCCAGGATGGTCTCGATCTTCTGACCTCGTGATCCGCCCGCCTCGGCCTCCCAAAGTGCTGGGATTACAGGCTTGAGCCACCGCGCCCGGCCCGGATTAACATTTTAACCAACATTCCAGACTTAGAGTAACTTTCTGACTTCGAGATAAGTTGCTGCTGAGAGAAGGGCCTCACTGAATTCCCTCATATTACAGTTGCCTACAAATGATTATTATGTTTCCTTATTTCAAAAGTAGGTCAGATCCCAGTATGCTTTGCTGCATTTAAATTCCAGTCATGAGACTGATATGAGAGAAACATAAAAGTGGCTGCTTCTTTTTCTGAAGGTTTACTTATCTGCATGGTCTTTTTTTTCCTACTTGTATTACAAAGCCAAATTAGTTTATGTGAATTATGAACAATCTATCTTTATTGCAGCTATCTTCAGCCACTTCATCTATGTTGCTAATCACCTACCATGAACATGCAAAGTACTCTTAACAGTACCAAAATATTTACGACATCTTATATTTCTAAAGTATTTCAAAGGACTATGTAGAAACACTAAAATAAAAACCTGCTGTATTTCACACAGCTGACAGTTTAAAATCAGATATAAGCCCTAGTGAAAACTTCTGCTTGATCTTCAAATTACAAATATCATTTGCATAGGAAGAGAAAATCCATATTTTCTCAATGGTTCACTCACAAGAATCCCTTAGACTATTGAATATTAATGCAATCTAGGCAGACACTTGGGCATTGCAAATGAAAGGGAATGTTTATACTAGTAACAGCACTTATCCGAAACCATGACTGAGTAGAGAACAAGAATCTACATTTATGTACCACATAATGATGTTTTGGGTCAGCAATGGACTGCATATATGATGATGGTCCCATAAGATTTTAATGGAGCTGAAAAGTTCCTATCACCTAGTGACATCTTGGTCTTGACCATGTATAGGCCTAGGCTAATGTGTTTGTGTCTCCATTTTTAACAACAACAAAAAAAAGTTTAAAAAGAAAAATAAAAACAAACACTTATAAGGATAGAACATATTTTTGTGGAGTTATACATTGTTTTATGCTGTTATTACTAAAAGCAAAAAGTTAAAAAATTAAAACTTTATAAAGTAAAAAAGTTACAGTAAGCTAAGACTAATTTATTGTTGAAGACAGAAGTTTTAAAAATAAATATAGTACAGCCTAAGTGTACAGTGTTTATAAAGTCTACAGTGGTGTAATATCCTTTGCCTTCATATTTACTTACCATTCACTCACTGACTTACCCAGAGCAACTTTCAGTTCTGCAAGCCCTATCAATGGTAAGCGCCCTATACAAGTATACCATTAAAAAAAATCTTTTATTTAACATTTTTACGGTATCCTCTCTATGTCTACATATGTTTAATTCACGAATACTTACCATTGTTTCACTATTGCCTATAGTACTCAATATAGCAATACGCTGTACAGGTTTGTAGCCTAGAAGCAATAGATTATGCCATATAGCCTAGGTTTGTAGTAGGCTATACCATCAAGTTTTGTGTAAGTATACTCTATGATGTTTGGACAATGAGGAAATTGTCTAAGGCACGTTGTTGAGCAATGCATGACTGTAATTACTTGTGGTTGAGAATTGGGAAGCTGTTTTTCAAGCACAAGTAAATAAAGGTCACCATTCCTTTTAGACTTTAAATTACAGCTGGATTTTGAACTCCTTAAGAAGCAGTTTGGTTTTCAATCCATTACTCTTCTAATGGTATTAACACTTTCTCAATATTTCTCATTGAAGATAGAAGCAACACAAATGAATTCATAGTATGTATAGGCACTCATATATCTTTTTTTTTAACTTTTAAGTTCAGGGGTACAAGTGCAGGTTTCTTACATAAGTAAATGTGTCATGGGGGTTTGTTGTACAGCTTATTTAATCATATATGTATTAAACCTAGTACCTATTAGTGATTTCTCCTGATCCTCTCTTTCCTGTCAACATCCTCCCTTTGAAAGGCCCCAGTGTGTGTTGTTCCCCTATAGTTCCCCTATATGTGTCCATGTGTTCTCATCATTTAGCTCCCACTTGTAAGTGAGAACAGGCAGTATTTAGTTTTCAGTTTCTGTGTTAGTACGCTAAGGATAATGGCTTCCAAGATGCGTTTTGAAAAGCTATTGATCTCATATTCTAAGTTGATGTCCCAAAGCAAGCTTGTCCAACCTGCAGCCCATGGGCCGCAGGCAGCCCAGGAAGACTTTGAATGCAGCCCCACACAAATTCGCAACTTTGTTAAGACAATATGAGATTTTTTGCAATTTTTTTTTAGCTCAGCAGCTATCATTAGTATATTTTATCTGCAGTACAAGACAATTCTTTTTCCAGTGTGCCCAGAGAAGCCAAAAGATTGGACACTCCTGCAGCCTAAAGGAAAAAAATTAGTCCCCGGATATTACAGTCCTCAGGAATTTCTGTCTACAATGGAACATTTATATTTATAAGATAAAAGTTAAACTCTGCTGGGAACATGGGAGAATACTCTAGATTCTACTTATATCTTAATGGTTTAATTTAAATAGGTTATTTGAAAGGTGTTTTTAAATTATTTTAATATGCTCAGTATGTAATTTTGCATTCATTTACTTATCTTTCAATAATATGTTCTTTCACTAAAAGTATATTTTTCACATAATAGTCAATATTTTCTAGAATGGTTAATGATTTATTGAAATTTAAATGGAGGTGATCTCAGAAGCAGATTATGTGCACGAGTAAGACAGTATGCGTGTGTGTGTGAGTGTGTGTGTGTATATGTGTGTGTTTTAATCCACTTAGGTTCTCCAGAATCGCTCTTGCTTATGAAGCAGTGCTCATGGTGTCTCCTGAACACTTGTTACATCGTTTCTCCAAGATAGAGTGGTACTTGTGAATCACTTAGATAAAAACGAGGTATACACACACAAAAAAACTCCAGAAAAGTGACCTTACACTCACCAAGATCCACCATATTTTTCACTGGGTCTTTATTTTCTTCAGGAAGAAGAGAAATGCTGGAGAGACTTGGACTACACTTTTCTATTTTAGCCCATAGACGCAATGTCTTGAAGTTTCTTTTCTTTCCTGTTTTTCTCATGGCATTAAACTCTTAGATTTTTAAATAACAAGTGAATGCGCTCTGTAGGAACTCTAAGGATGTAGGCGTAAAGGAGAGGTAACAATCTCCTTCCTTCTCTAACCCTATATCTGCCTTTCTTCCACACCGTTCACATTCACCTCAAATATCCAGTGTATGCAAGTCAGTGTGGAAAACACTCTTCCTAACATCATTTTTTGCACAAACACTATATATACATACTTTTATACAATACATACATGCCTGTATGTGTCTATATATTTGTATTGTAAGTATTTATTTTCTCTACAGTATGATGTTTTGAGCTCTTAAAAAAAAAAAAAAAAAAAAAAAAAAAAAAACAAAAAACCTTTCTGGCTGAAGACAGACTGCCCCACAAGGGCTAGCTAATTCTTAAAGACCACAAAGGGTCCAGCCAGGAGCATGACTTTGATAAACAAACTGACCAATTAGGGCCATGTTACCTCTATGTTGTCCAACCACCCAAGGATACAATCTTCCTCTACTTTAATTATTCAGAGTCAGGTGCCAAGCAACTTGAGATCACCCCTCTAGTCAAAATCCCCCAAAATTTTTGCAATTAGTCAATCCTGAACTGTTCACCCTGCCCGCTTTGCCTTTACCATGGAAACCTCAATAAAGGCAGTGGCCTGAACCTTCCTGTTGTTCCTGTCTTCTTGCACCTGACTACCCTGGTGTCTTTTCCATGCACCTCTGTGTGGTGTGCAGTGCCTCCTGTCTGCAGGACCTATGAACGTAAGAAACTGTTTTTTTTTTCCCAACCCTCCTTTCCTGGCCATAATTGATTGACCATGTCATAAAATAATACAAAATATAGGTTTATACATAAATATATACCTGTACATACATACAGATAATTATTTTTTTAAAATTAAATAATATTTAAAACTCTACACTCCAGTTTGTTTTTCTGAATATGTATCATGCATAGTCATCCATATCAATTCATCTTTTTAATAGCTGTGTATTATTCCACAGTGTCCATGGAATATGAATATCATTCTGGATACCTTCTGCTTGACTACCCAGATCTGCTTGCCACTCACCTCTATGCTGCTCTTCAGGAGGCAAACTCCCATGGTTTCCCTTGTCCTCTGGTTGGGTTGACAAATAGGAGATTAACAAGAGAAGAAAAAGGTGAGGGCAGCTTATTTATTCCCTGACTGCCTTTGTGCAAGTCAGACTCATCTTGACTGTTTTTCAACTGAGCACCACTTCTCCTCTCAAGGAGGTCTTTCTCTATTTCTTTCCTTCCTTCCTTCTTTCCTTCCTTCCTTCCTTCCTTCCTTCCTTCCTTCCTTCCTTCCTTCCTTCCTTCCTTCCTTCCTTCCTTCCTCCCTTCCTCCCTTCCTCCCTTCCTCCCTTCCTCTCTCTCTTTCTTTCCTTCTTCTTCTTCTTTTTTTTTTTTAACAGAGTCTCGCTCAGTCACCCAGGTGGAGTCCAGTGGCATGATTTTGCTTCACTGAAACCTCCACCTCCTGGGTTCAAGCGATTCTCCTGCCTCAGTCTACTGAGTAGCGCACCACAACCCCTGGTTAATTATTGTAATTTTGCTAGAAACAAGTTTTTGCCATGTTGACCAGGCTGGTCTCGAATTCCTGACCTCAGGTGATCCACCCACTTCAGCCTCTCAAAGTCCTGGGATTACAGGTGTGAGCCACTGCACCCGGGCCCTTTCCTCTACTTTCTTCTTCTGAACTTTGCACAGGTTCCTCTTTTGGACTTAGGGAAGGTAGCAACTCCAATGCTACTAAACTTTGGTCATTGAAGTAGCACTTATGGTTTCCCTACATACTAATTATACTTTTAAAATACTTCCCTTATGGATAATGATCATGACTTCTCTGTTCCCTTTGACTCTGGCTGATAAAATTATTCAGTGTTACCATGCTACTGAATATTCACTTTACTTTCAGTATTTTTGTTGAAGTAAATGTCTTCTACCTATATTCTTATGTACTGTGCTTTTATTGCTGTAAAGTATTGGCCAAAAGTAGCAATGTTCATTCAAAAGTTAACTTTTAATATTTATAGGTATTTCCAGATAACTTTCTATAAGGTTTGAAACAATTCACACTTTCACTAGCAGTTTAATTATTTAATTATTTGATTGACTTTTAACAAGCAATTTGAAATTCTTACCATATGCCAGAGACTCTATAAAGGGTTTTAAGAATATTAACATAATCTAGTATATAAAGTTTCCCATTTCCATATATCTTTACCATATGTTTGTAAAGTGGTGTCTCATTTAAATTTGTATTTAGTTGGCTATTACTGAGGCTAAGTATGTATTTACTTATTATCTATCTATCTATCTATCTATCTATCTATCTATCTTCTACCCTCTATCTTGTCTAAATATATTTCCTTGTCAATGAATTGTCTATTCATATTTTTGCCATTCTATTGTATGTGTACATTAGTGAGACAAGTTAGATTGAGAGGCATTTGGATGGGTGGTTGTAATCCAATACATTTAATAGCTTTTAAAATAGATCACAATTTTCAAATTAAATAATTCTGTAAAGACAACAAGAAATCATATGTAATCAATTAATCATATGAATCATGTTATTAATTAATCATATTAATCATATGTCATATATGCTTCTATGATCCACAGCCAGTACTTATACAGTGGTGTGTGGTCAAAAGGAATGCTTTGCATTTCACTGACAGAATCAGAGACATATGTAGATTGGTGAACTGCCAAAAATAATGCATTTTACTAAGGTGTCATTTGTAAAGTAACATTATGGTTTATAGGTTTCTAAAATGTATAAATGTGACTCAACCATACAGGCAAAGGCCTTGGAAAAATTGAGTTTACAGATGAAGAAACTGGGTTTCCTAGCAACACAGCTGGCTAGTAGCATTGAAGTGGGAAGAATCTAAGATTAACAGAGTAGATCTTAATGCTTTGGCTTTTGTTTCTTATTCCTAAAACGGGGAAAATAGTACAGCAGGGTTGGGTTGACTAAGTGAGACGATGGGTGTTTTAGTGTGAAAAACCCAAACCCCTATATAAGACAATGCTTTAGGGAAAAACTGCATCTAGAACCCAGTTGCTCTGGCTTGTCTGTCTCATACACTTTGTGCTGACTGCCCTCCAAGAAATTCTGGCCATAGGCATTTTGTAGATCCTGAATAACTTAGGCAAAGGCATACCAAAAAATTCTTCAGTTAGTCTTTAGTATCCAGGAACCTAGAAATACTCAGTAATAGATATGTAACATTTTTTTAAACTCAGGGTTCAGCAACAGAGGTAATAGTCAAAACAAACATCAAATATTTTCAGTTAAAAGGTGCCAGATGAGAGATAACTCCTTTCAGTAGGAAAACTCAAGTCAGTGTGTTTGCTCATGCATCAAGCACATTGCGTTTTTCCCCGCCATAGCCCTGCTATCCCACCTAAAGCACTTAGATGAAAAAAGAAATGCAAAAGCTCCAATCGTGCTAAGAATAAGTTGTGAAAAGCAAGTATGGATGATTACAAGTGTGGATAATGCAAGGCCACACAATGAACTGTGTCTAATGATAGATTCAAAAAGCTGATCCCAATAACAAATTTGTTTTTAATGAGAATTCAGGGAAATGCTATTATTTTCAAACCACTAAACTATACAGTAGTTAACTTTTTATTATATATGTAGTCTACTCTATAGATTTGTTTGGTTTTTTATTTAAAAATCTATGGTATGCATTTTTCTACTGTAATTTCTGAGGACTGAAGTTTGCAAATTAATAATCTGTACAGTTCAATTAGGCAGAAGAATTATCATCTTAGCTATGTCAAATAAAAATGCATTTCAAGGTAAAACATTAGCAGTAAGTATTTTCTATCCAAGGCATGAAGGATATTTATTTCATTTACTATGTTTACCTAAAAAAATCTGTATTAGTTCCAGTTTTGAATAAGATGAAGTAAGCATACTCCTGCCAAATGCACCTAAAACTTCTGTATAGAATGCGTGAAGAAGCTGTCTGAGGACTCTGAAAAATAAATGGGAGAAGGTGGAACTGGGGAAAAGTGCCAGAATTTGATGTAGCAACAAAATGGATATTTCTTATTTTATTTTATATTTTCCACTAGTTCCAAGGCTGGACTTAAAGGAAGCTTAAGACCCATGCTCACTACATGCATTCAGAAAAGGTGCCACAGAAAAGTCTCTGTTTCTTATTTGAGGAGTGGGAAAGAAATTCCTAACAGGTAGGAAAGAGTCAAAGAAATATCTGTACTTCCATTTCATCCATTCTGTCCTCTTCCAGTCCCAGGCAGTAGAGGAAGCAATGGCATCAACATTCAGACAGGTAACCACAACTGTAAGGGAGGTGAGCCCTTCTCTCTGTCCAGAGGAACTTTGGTCCCAAGGGTGTGAAAAAAATCACAAAATCTCAATTCATATTCTCTCTCTCTCTCTCTCTCTATCTCTATCTCTTTCTCTTTCTCTCCCTCCCTCCCCATCCTTTTATTAGTTGTCCTCTAAGGCAGCCATAGTCATTCCAAGTATGCAACAGAGTGGGGAAAATAAAACTCTGGCTTTCTTGGCAGAGGGCTGGAAAGCATGGATCTTGTGAAGTGGAAAGTTTCACAGAAGTGATAAAGAAGATAAATAATACACGACATGAAGCAGGCTTATCCTAGGAATGCAAGGCTGGTTTAATATTCAAATATTAATTAAAAAACAAAGTATAAAGCAGATGATGTTAACTGATACAAAAATTTTTGATAAAATTCAACCTCTATTAAGGAGCAAAACTCTCAGTCAACTAAGAATACCAGTGAACATGTTTTAATTGATAACAATAATCTACACGAAAACCCCAACAGGTATCATCAGGCTTAATGAGAAAAGATGGTTTTTTTTCTCATAAGATTGGGAACATGGCCAGGATTAAGTCCTTGCCACTTTTCTAACTATTCCTATCCCACATTGTAGTATTTATTCCAGACATTGTAATAAGGGGAGTAAAAAATATATACAAAAATTCATTGGAAAGAAAAAATAACATTGTTTCTATTTGCAAATAAAAATTGCCTATGGAGAGCTTAGCAAGTCCTAGGATATGAGGTCACCATAGAAAAACTCAGTCATATTTCCATTTACTAGTAATGAACAATCAGAAACTTTTTTTTAATGTCAATTACAATGGCTCCAAAAGGTTTACAAATATGCATATTTTAAAACAGAATCTGTATACTGAAAATGACAAAATGCTAATGAAAGAATTTAAAGATGATATATGTAATACACACAGATTGGAAGACTCAGTCTACTTAAGATGTCAATTCTCCCCAAATTAATCTGCGTTATCATACAAATCTCAAAAGGATTTTCTTATTCAGAGAAAAGAATATTCCAAAATTTATAGAAAATGTTGAAATAGCTAGAATAGTCAAAAGTTTTGAAAAAGGGGAATTTGGAGCACTCACACTAATTTAAGACATTATAAGGCTTTAGTATTTAGGATGTAATATGGACAGTCAAAAAATAATAATAATGTTTCCAGAAAAGAATATTTCCTCCAAAAAAGCATGACAAACTAATTTTGGCAAAGGCACACAGGCAATTCAATAGAGCAAAAACAATCTTACCATTTGTTTCAATGAACAAATGGTATTGAAACAATTAGACATCCATTTATAAAGAAAAAATGAACCTCAACCTCACACCTTATAGAAAAATTAACTTAAAATAGACCAAATAACAAAATACAAATTGTAAAAACTATAAAACTTCCTGATAAAAAGAAAAGTTTTATAACCACGTGTTAGGGAAGAAGTTATTAGATATGACACCAAAAGCATGATTGGTTAAAGAAAAATATTGATAAATTAGGATTTCATCAATATTAGATAAACTTTTTTCATGTGAAGGAAATTATTAATAAACTGGGAAGTCACATAGGAGGAAGTACTGTAATTCATAAGAAGTCTCAAAATTCAGCAATAATAAAACAACTAACTCAATTAAAAAACAGGCAAAATATCTGAACAGACACTTTACCAGAGAATATATACATATAGATAATAAGCATATGAAAAAACTTAACATTAGCCATTTGAGAAATGCAAATCAAAGCCACAATGAGATATCACTACAAGGCTATAAGAATGACTAAAACCATTAATGCCAACAACAACAACAACAAAAAGAAAACCTAACAATAAACAAAAGTTGGCAAGGATGTGGAGCAACTAGAACTCTCATGCACTGCTAGTGGGAATGCAAAATTGTACTGTCATTCCGTAAAACAGTTTGGCAGGTTCTTGTGAAGAGAAACATATCTTTACCATACAATCCAGCAATCCCCATTCTAGATATTCCTCATATAGAAATTTGAACATATGTTCACACAAATGCATGCACACAAATGTTTATAGTGTCTCTATTTATAACTGCCAAAACCTCTAAGCAATCCAGATGTCATTCCTTGGAGAATGGATAAATGAATCACAGTACATCCATGTAATTAAATACTCTCAGTAACCAAAAGGAAAAAATACTATTGATCCTATTGACACAATAACAGGGGTGTATGTCAAAAATATTATGCTGAATGAAGACAGTCTCAGAATGTTCCATCGATTTCAAATACTTTTAAAAAGTAAAACTATAGGGAAAGGGAACAAATCAATGGTTTCCTAGAATTAAGCATACAGAGGGGGTTTGATTACAAATAAGAAGTCCAAGAGTGTTTTTTGGGGAGATGGAACTGATTCTGACTGTAGTAGTGAATACCTGAATAAATAAAAATATGTATTATATTTTATATAGTGTATATATAATATATATTACAATTTTAGAACAAACTAAGGTCAATTGTACTTAGATAAATTTTAAAAGAGTAATAACTCCTTTTACCATAATCTTTAGTTGCCTTTCTTGTTATGCTGTCACCTAGAGCAAACCACATAATTTTAAATAATGCCAATCATAAGGTCAAAAGAAAAGAATTGAAGTTGCTCCATTTGTTCTAAACTGTTGCAGATACTCCGTGATGTATTTTTACATGGTATATCTTTATAAGAATCCTATCTTCCTATAGTTCAATGGTTTTACAATACTTATTAAGGATTATGAAAACAACTCCTCTAATTCTCTGTTAATGTATCAATACATAGGGATATCAGTGTTAAAGCTATTCATCATTGACAAGTATAGAGTGTCTACAAAATTATTTGTCTTATTTTAATATTTTTTGGACGAGGGATAGTAGAAATGCACGCTCAATGGCATTTTTTTATAGAAAACTGTATGCAGAAATACTTCCTCTTCACCATTATATATGTTTATAAGGATTGACACAAACATTTATGGTAAGAAAGATTTAAACTTTCTCTAACTTCATTTCTCTGATTTTTCAAGAAAGCAGGACTTGAATTTCAATTGAGTAATCTTCAGCACTCTCTGGGATTTGAGGAAATGAACCAATACTTAAATTCAAATGATATGGACAGGAGACGGAAATACTGGGTAAAAGATGGCGGTTACCTGGCAAAGGCCCCACCTTTAAGCCTGAAGACCCTCAATGCTAAATGAAGACAGGCATTTCTGTTTTCCAGCCTCAACATTTTTTTGGCCTGCCATGCCCCCCAAGTGTGCCCCCATATAAACCCAAGACCTTAGCAGGCACACACACAGGCAGTTGAATGTCGAGACCAGCAGACCAGCGATGGTGGAAGGAGGTGGCAGAGAAAGGGAGAAGAGGAGGGACATCTGAACTCTGAGGGGAGTTTGGCCAGGGGTGGTCGGAGAACAGCCGCTGGGCAGCCCAACTCCAAGGGAAGACTACCTTCCCACTCCATCCCCACTTCTGGCTCCCCATCCATCTTGCTGAGAGCCACCTCCACCACTCAATAAAACTTTGCGCTCATCCTTTGAGCCTGCGAGTGATGTGATTCTTGCGGGAGGCTCGGCAAGAGCTCGGGATACAGAAGACTGTCACACTGGCCCTCTGCCCTTGCGATAAGGAAAGGGTCCATTGAGCTGATTAACACTCAAGCCGTCTGCAGACGGCAAATCTGAAAGAGCTTTGCAACACATGCCCACTTGGGCTTTGGGAGTCGCAGACATCTACTCCTAGATGCCGCCCTGGGGCGGGATCCCAAAAGCGCTCATCAGGGCCTCTGCACCTGCCTGTCTGCGTGCTCCCCCTAGGGGTTTGAGCTGCGGGGCAACCAAGCAGGCAAGCCACACCCATGTCTCACATCCTGGGAGAGGAATCAAGAAACTCTTCTGTTTCAACATATATATTACTGTGATTGTCTTTTTGGTGTGTCAATTTGATTAGGCTATAGTCTCCAGTTATTCAATTGAATACTAATCATGTTGTGGGTGTAGAGATGTTTTGTAGGTTTTGTAGATGTGATTTAAATCCATAATCAACTGACTTAAAGTGATGGAGGTTATTTTAGATGAACCTGATTCAATTAGTTTAAAAGTTAAGAGCAGAGGTGAGGCTTTGCTAAAGAAGAAGACTTTCTGTGAACAGTAGCTTCATTCTGTGCCTGAAAGTTCCAGCCTGCCCTTCCTGATGCCCTGCTCTACAAACTTCAGATATTCTTAGCCAGTCATCAGAATGGTGTAAACCACTTCCTTGCCATAGATCTCTCAATGTATATCTCCTACTAATTCTGCTTCCCTGGTTTAACCTTGATTGATACAATTACCTGGATTATAGTTCCAAACATACTGTTAACCAATGAAATAGACTTCAAGATTACCAAACTGTGTTTCCTGCCCTTGAGGAAAATAGTGTAAGATGTTAGGAATTAATTAAACTCAGAAACTGTATGTTTCATTGCTAAGGTATCCTTTCAGGTTTTTGAATATTTATTATATCTACAGTCTATTTTTCTTGGGTTAACCTCAATACATTTGTTTCAGTCTATGGAGTCTTGACTGTTTTTGTGCTTGATACTTTAGATAGTCTTATAAAATTTTGTACATTATAAATACATGTGTAAATTAATATTAATAAAAGGACTGATATTATTGGCAACCTCCACTCTTAAATTCATATGATGGAGATTTTTAAGTCAAATAAAATGGAAAACTAGGATATTTCTGTCTTTCAAAAGCAAAGTATGACATTCCTTTATTTCTAGACAACCCCATGGTAGAGTCGGAAGCCTAAGAAGGTGCTGAGTTTTACTCATAAGATGTTCTCCAAGAAGAGTTTAAGGAGACATAATTCAGAGGTTTCCTTGGAATATTTTGTTTTTGTTTTTGTTTATGAAAATATCACAATCATGCATCATATCTTGTTAGAAAGTTGTAATATTCCCATGAATCCCAGAGCTAACTCTTGTCTTTCTAAGCACTTAACAATGGATTGAGACATTCTAGTGAAGTTTTCTTCACTTCTGTTGTCCCAAGGCTGTTACTGATATTAAATTAATCTCACTTTAAAGAGAATTTTTAAAAACTTTCTGGCCAGGCACGGTGGCTCAAGCCTGTAATCGCAGCACTTTGGGAGACCAAGGCGGGCAGATCACGAGGTCAGGAGATTGAGACCATCCTGGCTAACACGGTGAAACCCCATCTCTACTAAATATACAAAAAATTAGCTGGGCAAGGTGGTGGGTGCCTATTGTCCCAGTTACTCGGGAGGCTGAGGCAGGAGAATGGCATGAAGCTGGGAGGCAGAGCTTGCAGTGAGCCTAGATCGTGCCACTGTACTCCAGCCTGGGCAACAGAGCAAGACTCTCTCTAAAAAAAAAAAAAAAAAAAAAAAAAAAGGAAAGAAAAATCTTTCCATCATTAGTGCATTTCCAAATGTCACATCTTAGTTAAATACCAGCACTTGCTCATCTTATCAAAGGCATTCCTTTTCTTTTAATATTTGGAGCACATGATTCAGAAGGACAAATTCCATCTATGCTGATGAGCAGAAGATGGCAGTAGGACTCCCAACTCACTGAGTTGTTTCTATCCTTTTTTTTTTTTCAGGTTAGCTCTGGGCAAGATTTTATAATGGGAGCCAAAAAACCAAAGTTTCTTCTACCTCAACCCTCATGGGCCATATTTCTGATTGGGGTAGTGATGACATTTGATCAGGATTTTAAGTTCTAGAGTTTTCATTACAGAGCTAAAAAGCAGCTTTGAGATCAATGCTGGAGGACACTGAGTGAGTGGTATGAATAAATCATGCGGTGGTATATTGACAAATATACACTACTGAATATACAAAATTTAATATTAAGGTATTGTGGCTAGATTTTCAAATACCGCTGCTATAATATCATTATTTCTGTTACAGGCTATTTTTCAAAATAAGAGTCATCATTTTATTTACATTAACATTTTATAAACTGTATACCTAAATTATGTGCTTCAGAGAACTAACTGATTGCCTTTGGGACCCAGAGAGCTACTGTTACCCAAACTGAAAAGATAAATTGATTAGTAGCATAGTGGGCTTTTTCACCCAACCCTGAAACTTGAGAGATTTTAAGCCTAGCCAGAAGCAGAATATTCAGTTGAACAACTTAACAGTCAGGTTCAGTGAGATAAATTTGATGTTGCTATCAGGCAACCGACTTCTGTGTATATTTTCTTTTTCTTTTCTTTTTTTTTTTTTTTTGAGACGGAGTCTCACTCTGTCGCCCAGGCTGGAGTGCAGTGGCACCATCTCGGCTCACTGCAAGCTCCGCCTCCCGGGTTCACGCCATTCTCCCGCCTCAGCCTCCCGAGTAGCTGGGACTACAGGCGCCCGCCACCACGCCTGGCTAATTTTTTTGTGTATTTAGTAGAGACGGGGTTTCACCGTGTTAGCCAGGATGGTCTCGATCTCCTGACCTCGTGATCCACTCACCTTGGCCTCCCAAAATGCTGGGATTACAGGTGTAAGCCACCGCATCCGGCCTTATTTTTCTTTTTTTATTGTATCCTCAGCTTGCAGAGAAGGAAAGCATGCGGGACACCCGTAAAATATATTTTCCAAATAAAGCAGAAAGAGCTACTTCTTCAGAATATTATTAGCTTGTCTTCCATGCAATCTATAGCTATTAAAGTCTTTTAAAATCACTTTTCAATTAAAAGGGTGAGATGAAACTGGAAAGTATCAAAACCCATTCTTCCCTGGGCCTCTACCCATATCTAAACTATTTCAGACAAATGAAAATGTTATTTTATTTTGGAACCCATGAACTCTTTGCCAATATTTATTGTTGAGGAAGATGGCACAGAGGACAGTAGTGTCAAGGAATTTATTGGAAGTAGATATCTCTTGCCAGTGAGGCAAGGTGTCCCAGAGGAGCTGGGCTTGAATTGTGCTTTTAAAAACTTATCAAAACTGGGCAGTCAGAGGAGATGAAAAAGTATAATTTATTTTACTACAGTGATCACAAACAATATCAGTATATCAGACTGATATGAAATACATACAAAGGGATTAATGAAATGTTAAATAACTGAAAATTGGCTGGATGTGGTGGCTCACACCTGTAATTCAGAACTTTGGAAGGCTGAGGCAGGCAGATCACTTGAGGTTAGGAGTATGAGACCAGCCTGGCCAACATGGTGAAACCTTGTCTCTACTAAAAATACAAAAATTAGCCAGGCATGGTGGCGCAGGCTTGTGATCCCAGCTATTTGGGAGGCTGAGGCAGGAGAATTACTTGAACCTGGGAGGTGGAGGTTGCAGTGAGCCAAGAGCACTCCACTGCACTCCAGCCTGGGCGACACAATGAGACTCTGTCTCAAAAACAAAAACAAAAACAAAAAGAAACCTGAAGAATAATTTCCCTTCTTGCTGGCATTAAAAATCAAAATGAAGAACAATGTACGGAGAATTCCACTTCTAAGTAGAATGGAATAATTTACAGGAGGCTAACACTTTTAATGTGAACACCTCGAAAACCAGATCCATTATAAAAATCATATTTTTAAAGGTTTCAGAGAACTGTGGATACAAGAAGGAATAGACAAACTACAGTTTTAGAGAAAAGTTTAGAAAAGATATTCAGAGGTGAGCTCAAGATTTGTAGTTGCGTTTTCCCTGGGAGAATGTGATGATTTTTAGTGTGATATGGAGCCTGAGGACTTGGGTTTTCTTCATAAAGAGAAGCAATGGGAAGGAACAAATAAACAAATAGAACTTTTACCAGTCATCCAGGGCTGCAGACTTAAGCAGCCTCAAACCCATGACCAGTTTTTCTCATTAGAATAACTTATTGATGGGCAGAATGAGTGCTTAAAAGAACCAACCTGTAAATCTTAGAAAATTAGAGCAAAAATGTTGAAGTATCTCTGTGAGAGAAAAGGACCATAAAAACACAATTTTTGAGAGCTCTGGAGAGAGTGGTGAATGGATACTGAGAAGCTACCATTTGCTTTTCTTTCTGGGGATATTTTCCTACTCTGAATAAAGCTAGAGATAGAATTAAGCCTGGCCCCGTGGCAGAGAGTTTTTGGAGAACTAAGAAACAAGCAGGAATTCTGGCAGTCAGACACACAGTCAGACTCTTTCTCAGGATGTTTGGCACTGAAAAGCTGCACAAGATAAGACTAAACTGAAAATCTGTGAAAGCAGAGAAGAAATTCCTACGTTCTCTCAGAGGTCAAAGACAGATGCTTTCCAGGCCCTCAATTATATGAGCTTTGTGTGGCATACTCTAGAAAGAGGGACAAAGCAGAAATAAATTGAGTCTCAACTTCCATGCAGTTTTGACCTAGCTCCATTTCTGATTGGATAAAATTGATCACTCTGCCATTTCTTTTGCTTAGCACCTCTCTAGTGAAAAGCAGCATCCATAATCTGAACATTTATGGTTTTTGTGTACAGTGTTTATCGTTGCTCAAAAAATTTAGACAGGCAGAGAAATAGGACCACATGATCAGTAACCAAAAGGAAAAATAGACAATAGTATTAGATATCCAGTGATCTTGATACTGAATTTAGAAATCAATGATTTTCAAACAACTTTGATAAATATGTTGAATAAATTAGAAAATAAAATGTAAAAATTGGTATCATATGAAGGAGTTCAATATACCAGAATATTAAAATGAGTATTGTAGAAATAAAAACACAGTATCTGGGATTTTTTTTTTTTTTTTTTTTTTTGAGATGGAGTCTCACTCTCTTGCCCAGGCTGGAGTGCAGTGGCACAATCTCGGCTCACTGCAAGCTCTGCCTCCTGGGTTCACACCATTCTTCTGCCTCAGCCTCCTGAGTAGCTGGGACTACAGGCGCCTGCCACCACACCTGGCTAATTTTTTGGTTTTTTTGTATTTTTAGTAGAGACAGGGTTTCACCGTGTTAGCCAGGATGGTCTTGATCTCCTGACCTTGTGATCCACCTGCCTCGGCCTCCCAAAGTGCTGGGATTACAGGCGTGAGCCACCACACCTGGCCAGTATCTGGGATTTAAAAACTGTTGAGTATTTTTTCACTGACATTACGACAAAGTAGAAATTTCCCAAACAATTCAACTCAAAGAGGACTTAACCAGGGAACATTATAATCAAATTGTCAAAAATCAAAGGCAAAGAGAGAATTTTGAAAACATCAAGAGAAAAGAGATATGTTGTATACAACAGAACTTTAATTAGACTATCAGTGAATTTCTCAGCAGAAACCTTGCAGACCAGGAGACAGCTGGATGATATATTCAAAATGCCAAGAGAAAAATTAAAATCTAGTCAACTCAAAAGAGTTTACTTAATAAATCTGATCTTTTTAAAAAAATTATTTTAGGTTCATGGGCACATATTCACTTTGTTTTATAGGTGAATTTGTGTAACAGGGGTTTGTTGTACAGGTTATTTTGTCAACCCAGTACAAAGCCTAGTACACAATGGTAATTTTATCTGTTCCTCTCCCTCCTCCCACCCTCCACCTTCAGGTTGAATACAAAAATTAGCTGGGCATCATGGCACACACCTGTAATCCCAGCTACTTGGGAGGCTGAGGCTGGGAGGCAGAGATTGCAGTGAACTGAGATCGTGCCACTGCACTCTAGCCTGGTCAACAGAGCAAGACTC